TTGGGCATGGCCCTTCCTCGTGGCACGTGGAAGGTTTTCGCAGTTTGTCCTATGAAGACGGTCCATTGTCTGAAACGTCAACGATTAAATATGTTTTTTTTCTTATAAGGCCACAAGCGTTGTTGAGGAACGCGTTGAGTGTTTTTGTTAATTGTGCCGTGTGCACCACTGCCAACGCAGCAGCAACATCACCAAATAATTTGCGAACTTAATGCCAGTTGCTAGCGCTGAGATCCTGGGTTATATTCACAACCACATGTGATTATTAACGTGGCCTTCCGAGCGTGGGTAAGTCGACGGTCTCGGCCCACTCCCTGATGTTCACACGCATAATCCATCGCGATGAATCAGTTATTAACTTAGATCCGGCTAAACTCCATCCCCGGGACGCGTAAAAATCCGTTCGAATAACAAAAAAACGGGATTTGAACCTCGAGTTTTAGCCGTCGGGTTCCCAACCCAGCGGCGTAAACAGCTGTTGGGCGTGCAGGCTGTGCAACTGCGCCGTGCCGACTGCGGGCCCGGGTGCCGGGCTATGAAGAGGGGGGCGCGGGGGGGGATCGGATAGAGAGCGGGGGTGGTTTGGGGGGGGGTCCCGTTTAATTCCTTCTCCCAGAGCCCATGCCAACCACATCGCCAGGTCACAATCTCGCGTGTAGTGTCAGTCGATGGTCTCAGCTTTGCTCACCGATGTCTGCGCACGCAACAACAACAAATGCCAGTCACGTTCCATTCGACCGTTCACTAAATGCGCTCAAAGTTGCAGTTGTGAGAACTGAATGTGATTACTTTTAATAGATTTGCGGGAAAACACTCTTGATCGCAGATCACATCCAATCAGAATCAGAATAAGTATTTATGCTGGAGGAATCCGATGAGCTATGAAGCTCTTTTTCACAGGTGTCTAGTGGTCTCTTGAAGTCCCGTCAGAAGTGGTTCTGTAACATCTTTTTCCAGGGTAATTATCGGGCAGTAGGTGGTGCACTGCTCACACCGTGAGACTTGCGGACATTCCTTCATCTCATGATGAAGTTAAATCAAGAGCACAAATGCATTACAATTGAAATTAAAATTAAACATATTTACAAACGGGGATGTAAATATCTCAACCCTCACCTTCACACAGTGACGAACCCTCCGATATGCTTCCAGATCGTACCGCGCGTTGTTTCGGATATTGTCCGACGTTTCGCGCCCCACGTGCTGGGCAGCTTCTTCAGGAATTGAAATTCAGTTCCTTAAAGACGCTTCCGGCACGTAGGGGTGCGAAACGTCGGACGTCGTTGCCGAACGGCACGCGGCACGACTCGGCAAATACACATCGGAGAGCCGTACGGACACAACCAACCACGTGAACCAATGTCCCAGTGTGACGAACCCGTCATTAATAAACAATAGAACACTTGCTCCTCATTGTGTTCTTTGTGAGCGCAAGGGACCCATCCGAGTCCGGTGGTGTTGTCTCTGTAAGGCCAGAGAGGACAGCTGCTGCTGCTGCTGCTTCTGAAAAGATAATTGCACTTGCCCTGACCACCAGACAAAGATCCCCCGTATAGCCTTAACAACAGACTGTGCTGTTAGCAAGCACCTATGAAGGCCAGCACGGCAAACGAGGGGATGGGTGGCCAGCACCACGCCCGGCCGCCTTTGTCTCCCCAGTGGCGATGTTTACACACCGCACCAGGTACTCACTTGAGGCTGAGTCGACCTAGGGGAGGCCCAGGGCCGGTTCAAATAATCGTCAATGGAGTTGGCCCCTGAGCAAGACTCGAACCCGGGTCGCCAGGTTCGTAGCGCGGCGCCCTAACCACCACACTACCACTTTCCCCTGTCCCCCCCGCTACCTCTTAGCGGAGGTCTCAGAAGCCAAACTGGCGAGGCTGTGTTGTCAAATAAATAACTATGACCACGACGGGGTCGAGCTAGGGTTGCCACCTGTCCTGGTTTTCCCAGGATTGTACTCCTGTTGAGGAGGGAAGCTGTCCTGGGAAATCTGTAGGTTTTTGCTGGAGGTTGAAAAGTCCTGGTCTTTGTCAGCTGAGTAATAATAACAACAATACAACTCCACTCGAGACAATGCATTCACGTGTAGTTCTCCCCTCTTTCCGGAGATGTGAGGATGTTTTTCTTCACCACGACAAGTCCCTGGTATTTGTGTACCTCAGAGGTGGCAACACCAGGTAGAGCAGTGGTGCAGGGGGTTATCGTGCCACTCAATGAGCCATGTGACCTCAATTTGATTTCCGGCCACGGCTAACTCTAACAACATTCGCCATTAAGTGACGGTGACGTCACCATGACGCCTGTGCCAGGCCAGGTGCACTTTGTGGTCACTGTTTCCAGTGACCACATGTAGCATTAGCATACACATCTGCATAACTATTTCATTCATCGCGATATTTCCACTTTCGCATGTGACACGGTTTGTTTTTGTTCTTCTGTTTATATCACAGCTCTACTTTATTCGATTTCCCTTCGTCATGTTGGCAACTCTTGCGCATCTCGAGTTCTCACCTGATTAACGCAAAATTTCAATCGAAACTTGAATCTAAAATCCAGCTCTTAATAATCCCTCAACTATTCCATCCGAAGAGCAAACAAAAAGAAAGGGATACACATTTGTAAAGAATTATCCGAATAATTTAGTTTTTATGTAACCCTGCAGCACATCGTTTTCTGTCGCTCTTGCTTGGCACTACTTGCCTGGCAAACGGCCCTGTGATTCAGTTAACTTCACAACGTGGTCAAGGCAAGGCCCTACCTGGCTAACGGCTCTGTGATTCAGTTAACTTCTCAACGTGGCCACGGCAAGGCCCTACCTGGCTAACAGCCCTACCTGGCTAACAGCCCTGTGATTCATTTAAATTCGCAAAGTGGCCACGGCAAGGCCCTACCTGCGTCGCTCTAACGACAGTAATCGCACCCAAGCGAGATTCGGCATAACCTTGGGCGAGAGGCAACTCGTAGATTAATTTCTGCGGGTACATTATCACAGAGAAGCAAAGTTTATCATCCGTTATCCAATGTCACCATCCGAAATAAATAAATAAAAGTGTAAACCATTGCATCTCGCACGTGCCTAGACCGTACGAGTCGATTGTAGCCAGCGAAGCAATTCGTCTGTGCGTGCCCTCACGCCCAGCATCTGTGCTCGTTTCAAATCAGAGCTGTCTATGTCCCAGGCATAAAAGGCAAATGATAGACAGAAGGGGAAACTCCACACACGCACGTGAGCTTCTGGTAGGGGAGGTGGGGGTGGTAGCGGGGGGGGGGGGTGAAGCGAGAGAATGAAGCGAATGAAGAGTCTAAGACCGGAAAGCATAAAAAGCGAAAGAGGCCAGATGGGAAATAGGGCCTTCTCTTGGCCCACCATTGCCCACGTTTTAATGTCCCCATTGTTCCCGCGAGTGCGACCATTTGGGAGTCTCTAAGAAGCAACACCCCACGGGTGCCAAGGGTTTGGCCGGGGCAGGTGGAGCCCTTGCAAATGATTGGCACGGGGTGTCTAAACACTATAGCCGCGCGTGCAGCGTTACGCGGCGTGGCCGGCGTGCCACAGCGAGCGCTGGCTCAAGGAGGGTGAATAGCAAAGAGGAATTTTGAGAGTTCCATGTATCACACGTGCGTGCGTATAATAATAAGAAGAATTATAGCAACAATGTAGAGCCCTTTGTCCATCCAGCGCTGGGTGAAGGCCTTGCCAAGCTATTTTTTTTACAATTTTTATTTTACCAAGTAAGAGCCCACTGAGCGATGTAGCTATTTTTCAGAAGTGACCTGGCCACAAATGACAGCTTCAACAAAGTGGATTATCGTGTGGAAATGCACAGCAGCCAAATACTCGAAAGGCACGTTCCTGATCGCGGAGGGAAAAACCGGAGAACAATCCATGCAAACCACGGGGAGAACATGCAGACTTCAAATATACAGGCGTCAGGTTCGGGATCGAACCCATGCCCTCCTGCGTACGAGGCGAGGTAGTTAACATCTCTTAGCCACTTTGGCGCCCTGTGTTGGTCATGGGAATTGTTTGACCGGAGACGGATCGAGAAACTTGCAAAATGGGGGGGGGGGGGGGGGGGGCATTACATTAAAACATACCCATTCCATCAATTTTTTTCTGGTAAATATTAAAACAAATAGCAAGTTTCGTGGTCTCGAGGGTGAGGGGGGTGGGGGAGGCAATCGCCTCCACCACCCTCTTCTTGGATCCACCAAGTGTTTCCCCCATACTTCACCATGCTGGTCAGTGTAGGCTGGTGAACTGGGGGTGCCGTGGTGGACGCGATGTTAACTACCTCGCCTGGTATGCAAGAGGAGGTCGTGGGTACGATCCCGACCTTTGACGCCTGTATATTTGTAGTTTTCATGTTTTCCCCGTGGTAGCATGGGTTTTTTTCCGGGTCCTCCATATTTAGAAACACGCGTTTAGAGTATCTGGTTGCTATAAATGTCAACGCGATAAGAAAACTTCGTTGAGATATCATTTGTGGCCAGGTCGCTTCTGAAAATGAGCTGCTGTATATAGCTCAGTGGGCTTTACCTGGTATAATTTAAAAAATAGTTTATAGTTCAGTTTCAATAGTTTAGAACTCGATCCGATATGACTCACCACTGGTGTTAGCAGTGGCCCGGATCCAAACTCGGGTTGCTGGTGTAAATAAAATAACAATTCCCACGGGAGTCGAACCACAACAATAACCGTTCCCTGCTTATTTATATGCATAGAGCAGGGGTCGGCAACCTACGGCTCCGGAGCCGCATGCGGCTCTTTACGGGCTGCTTCTTGACGATATGTACGTATGTACAGTATGTACTCAGATGTATTGCGGCTCTTGAAATACTGAATTTTGTACCGAATTGGAAAGAAATGGCTCTTCTTGTTATTTTGGTTGCCGACCCCTGGCATAGAGTGTTCGCTAAGAGTACTTGGCCTAGCAGTGCGCGCACCAACACGGGGGACCTTTGCCTTTGCGTGCGTATCGTGAGCGACCGAGCACCTGGCACCGACGACCCCCTCCCGTCGCCGCTGCCCGCCACCGCCGCCGCCGCTCCTCCACTCGCTGCTGCCCGCGGAGCCCGCGGAGCCCACGGGTGCCCTCCGCTCGCCCCCGGGCAGCGCCAGCGCCGCTAGTAGGTGGCGGCGCGCCTCCTCGGCCCGTCGCAGCGTCTCGGCCCGCTCGCGCGCCCAGCGGCCGTGGGCCACCGCCGCCTCCTGCTGCAGCCTGCGCATCCGCACCGGCGGACAAACGGCGAACGTCACCGTCATCGCCGCGGAATTCGCGGACCCTGCGGCCGATTTTAGCGTTGGGGGGGCGGGGGGAGGGGGCGTCGTGCGGTTTAGATGCCAGGGCAGTGGGGCCGGTGACGTGGCCCAGCGTCTGTCGCTGGCTTTTAGAGATTCGTGGTTTTGGGATCCATAAGGCCGCACTGGTTCTTACCGCGGGAGTGTTGGCCTTATATTATCTACGTGCTTCCTGCTTGGCAGTGGACGTTAACGAGTAGGCCATCGCAGGAGTAGGCCAGCATCATCGTTCACTTTTGCCAAATAATACATTAAAGTTGGAATTACACGTAGTACTTGATGCCTCCTTGTACCACACACAGGGACAGTTGGCACTGGGGGTACCATGTAAATGCACGTAGGCATTTTATTGTCAAAGGCATTCTCGTAGCCATCATCCTCGCACGTACCCAACTCACTGACCTGGAAAAATATGATTTTAGTGTGAGGGAGTCACGTGTTTAAACAACAGGTCAGGCCAACTGCATCATTGGCAGCATCAAAAGCATCATCACCAGCACCATCAAGGTGGTCGAATGATGGCAGTAGAGCAACGGATTAAATATATCTGTCTGGAGGGTCGAGCATCATCCCTTCACACGTGTTGGTTCCCTCGATCTATGTTGAACTTCTTTCGCACCGTACGCAGCCAACCGTGCTTACCGGTTTCATCCGTTTCATGCCACACACAGCCACTCATGAATGGAACTGTCATAACATCACCAATGCAGGACCCTCCTTAAAAAACGAGTCTTGAGACTCAGCGAGGCTTTTCCTATCTTTAGCTCCCTTCCTTCACTAACCTGCACTGACATGGGTGGTGAAGTATGGTCAATAATCCCGCACCGCCCACGTGACAGGGCGGGAGGCCCTCGTGCAGTACAGCAGTGGATTGACAAAAGGGCTCTGCGATTTGCACGTGTCTCCCTGTGTTCAGGGCAACGTACAGGACATGCGAGTGTGAAGGGCATTTTCAGCAGCAGCAGAAGCAATATTCACGTTTCAGAGCCCCACACAGAGTTGCCCAAATTGACGGTTACGACCTCCAAGACCCATAACAGAATAAAAAAAAATACTTCAAATAAAAAAAGGCATTGCTTGGGCGACCACCATGCACAGCAGGCGTTATATGATGTTGTTACGTTGTCAGCAGAGGACATTTCCGCACATTCTAATGTCTTAAATTGATCTAAATGTGCAATTTAATGGAGGGACTGTGTTGTGTTGGTGTGGTCTGGGACTGTTTTTGTTGTTGTGTATCCGCCTTGTCCTGGCTTGCATTTAACGTTGACAAATCGGCAGGAATGTATGTACTAAAGTAATTTATCCTTAAATAGTTGTTTTTTTTACGTGATTCCCTTTACCCATATCTGTCAACCCATACGGTTTACCCGTATTCTTGCACAGGGAAATTGAGTTTCCATGTCCATATGGCGTACAGCCGTTTCTATACGGGCAAAAGAAATGTGTCTATTTGTTTGTGTTTCTCCCTTGTAATGGGATGAACGTTGAGATGTATAAGGGGCACGGGGTGACCAATAAGGTCTGAATTGGTCTCCAATAAGGTAGACACTGATAAGGGGTTGCCTTTTCTACATTTTGCACACCTATCGGTTGTACTGTACCGTGCTCCAACATTTATCGTTCCGTCACCTTCGGCAAAGCACACACCGACCAACGCGATGACCTGCCGTCAAGTAACCACCCGCACGACCCGTACGGTGTGGGGAGACCCTCATCTAGCAATGGATTGGCAAAGGGTCAGTTGCACGCGTTCTGTGGGTTTGTCCTCAAAGTGCACCTGGCCTGGCACGGGCGCCGTGGTGACGTCCCCATCACTTCGTGGTGAATGGTGGCGATTGTTGTTGGTGTGTTTGAGAGAGAGAGAGGTGAGTGAGTGGGTTTCGAGAGCCCAGACCTGGCCAGCTGAGCGCAGTGCCTCTCCTGCACGCGGCTCATCGCAACGCGAGCGGCGCGCAGCTCCGACTCCAGGGCCCGGCAGAATCTCGCGGCCTCGGCCACTTGGCGGTCCCTGGAGCCCCGCAAGAGCTCCAGCTCCCTCAGGACCATGCTCCTCTCGGGCCACCTCGCCGTGGCACCCATCGGAGCCTCCTCGCTCGTCCCGTTGCCGGCTGCTGACGGTCGAGCGGGAGTAGGAGGGACAGATGCGTGAGATTAATCGCCGTCAACAACAACAACAGCAGTGGCGGCATCGAACAGCACCTTCATCGTCAACGTCGCCTGTCAAGGTTTTTGCCAAGAGGTGGCAGTGCAGCGGCTGCTTGAACGTATCTGTACAAAGTGTAGAGCGTCGTCCCTTCAAACGCGTTGGTTTCCTCCAAATGTTTTCCCCAGAGTCATCAGTTTCGTCGCGCGCGCTCAGCCGTTCGTTCATGGCACTGCCCCTAACATTGATTTGAAGCTTTCGTGACTGCAGGAATCCATACTCTTTGGTTCTTTCCGTAAAGTCACGTAGGTGGGAAAAAAATATAGATCACGACGTTTCGATCGCAACACAAGCAAGCGTCGTCAGGTGTGAAACAAACAGCAGGAGGACTGCTGCCGTGTTTGTTTCACACCTGATGACGCTCGCTTGTGTTGCAATCGAAACGTCGTGATCTATTATTTTTTCTGCCTACGTGACTTTTACCGAAAGAACCAAAGAGAATGCCCCTAACATCTCAAGGCCGTTTCCTCCCGAATGGTGGCAACGCTTGCACCTCAAAGCAAGAATCGTCTCGGTCTGATTTCCGACTGGAGCGAACTTCTGCGTGGAGTTTGACTGTTCTCCCCGTGTTCTGCGCGACTTCCCTCTGGGTTCTCCCGATTTCCCGTCAATCTCGGTTCAAAGTGGACAAAATGTGAACGATTATCCACGCACACGGATTACTCACCGGCAGTCATAATGCCCATCGCTAAAGCAGGTGCTGAGTCACTTTGTGCCACACAGGGACAGCTGCCAACAGGGGGCCCTTGCGCTCTGAGCCGTTTCGTCGCGTGATAGATGGAGTGCAATACAAGTGCAAGTTAATTAGTCAATCATTCATTCATGGCCAGCCTCGAAGTGCCCGGGTGGAGGCGGGGTGATGATGGAGGGCCAATCTCGCCCTGCTGAAGTGTCAGCCCCCCCTCCCGGCCTCACCCAATCTAACTCTAATAGCCAAGTATAGTAGTAGGTTTTTACCCTTTAAACAGGTAGAAAAACTGACACCTTTATACAAGGCATCATGTTTGCAATGACCACAACACAAGCAGTTAAAATGCAAACAAAAAGAAACAACTCTGATAATGATAATAATAATTGCATTTTAACTGCTTGTGTTGTGGTCATTGCAAACATGATGCCTTGTATAAAGGTGTCAGTTTTTGTACCAGTTTAAAGGGTTAAAACCTACTACTATATTTTGCCACTGGTAAAGGAGGTCTCATAGTCTAATAGGCAAGTCAATAATGCTGCTACGATATTGAGTAGAGAGCAGGCGGCCCCCGCTTGTATGACACAATGCGTTCCTGGAAACCCTGACGTGAATCGGACCCCATCGCGTTTCTATTTCTTCCTTTTAGGAGCCATATTTTTACAGGGTTCAAGAGGTAAAACATCCACACGCAAAGCACAAACCACTTGAGAATAACAAAAGCTCCGCGCCAAGTCTCATCGGGAAAACCAGGCTGACTCTGTTCAAATGTGTTCGAAGTCGTGTCGGAAGATGCGTCGTAAATCTATCCACAAGTGGAATTATAGAAACGTCGCAAAGCGGATACCGCCAGTACAATGAATCGGTTAGCGTTGCGGCTTGTGTTCAAATACATTGGGGGGGTGGGAGCGCGAGCAGAATGCACGATTGACAATAACAGACCGCGTCATTCATTATTCATTCCGTTTAGCGAGCATCATTTGTTTAGAGTTTGTTGAACATTGTGTGGTGCAGCTCCCACCCACCCACCCCGACTTGCACAGCTCACGCGACAGGGTGGGTGGTGGATTTTAATTGGATTGGGGATGTTGGGGGGGGTGGGGGGGCAGGAGTCGTGAGTCGGATAAGCCCATTCGTGGCTTGAATGAGTGCGCTCGAGTATGATGATGGTGCTCGTGATGTCGTTGTGAATATTCCGACAGCGACGATTAAATGATCTTCTTAGGATTACGATGGTGACGCTGCTGCTGCTGCTGCTGCCGCTGCTGCTGACGATGGTAACAGTGGCCGTGATGTTGGTAACGGTGATGATTGTGGTGACCACGGCAACTTTGCTTGACGCTCGACGGTGAAGTCGGTGACCAGGATGCCGATGGACATTGATGACGACCACGTGACGAGGATCACAACAACAACGACGATGATGATGACGATGCCAGTGACGATGACAGCTGGTATGTGCATACCGCGCGTGCGTCAATGTGGCCGCATCTCAAGACGCTGATAGGGAGGCGACTGGCCCGCCTGATAGCGAGTGACCGGAATGAGTCCGCAAGTGAAAAACACGGAAAACAGCGACCATGGTAGTAGCGATAGCAGAGCCACGAGGAGGCGACTGGGTCCCCTTTGAGCCACTGAGTAAAAAACACGGAAAACAGTGACCATGGAGTCTTGATTTGAAGCTTTCGTGACTGCAGGAATCCATACTCTTTGGTTCTTTCAGTGAAGTCACGTAGGTAGAAAAAAACAATAGATCACGACGTTTCGATCGCAACCACAGCAAGTTTTTTTTCTTGCTGTGGTTGTCCCACCTGATGACGATCGCTTGTGTTGCGATCGAAACGTGGTGATCTGTTATTTTTCTACCTCCGTGACTTCACCGAAAGAACCAAAGAGTATAGTAGCCATTGTAGTAGCGATAGCAGAGCGATAAGGAAGCGACTCCGGCGAGCGAGAAACTGAAGTGAATGTGCGAGTGTTGTGATCGCCAAACAACTCACGTCGAATTGCATCAACGGCACCGTGAGCGAGGCGTGAATGCCCGCCAACAGAAGTGTTGACGATGCCGATTTCGGAGCAGTGATCTCGAGGTTATGACGGTGCCACTGCACTGCTTATACAACGAGCAGAGTGACCGTGACGATTGTGTCCAATACCAGCTGCGAAGACCATGACCAGCGATCGGCAACCAACAGAACAAGAAGGGCGATTTTTTTTGTATAGAATTCGGTCAAATAAAAAATAAAATCTATATTTTAAGAGCCGCAATGCACATGGCATATACTTAATAAGTGACGTCACAAAGCAGTCCTTAAAGAGCCGCACGCGGTTCCGGAGTCGCAGGTTAATATGTACGCACTTATAACTTCTTTCGCACCGTACGTAGCCAACCGTGCTAATCGGAGGTGCGGGGGATGTACAACAAACTAAACACAAAAGGCGGTTCTAAAAACGCGAGGTTGCCGAGCCCTGGCCATAGAAATGGCGATGACGACGGTGATGATGATGACAATGATGATGATGACGGAGAAGACTGACCACAGAGAGGCAGTGACGTAGTAACTACATTATCAGTGACGTAGTAACTACACTATCAGTGACGTAGTAACTACATTATCAGTGACGTAGTAACTACATTATCAGTGGTGTAGTGACTACATTATCAGTGACGTAGTAACTACACTATCAGTGACGTAGTAACTACATTATCAGTGACGTAGTAACTACATTATCAGTGGTGTAGTGACTACATTATCAGTGACGTAGTAACTACACTATCAGTGACGTAGTAACTACATTATCAGTGACGTAGTAACTACATTATCAGTGGTGTAGTGACTACATTATCAGTGACGTAGTAACTACACTATCAGTGACGTAGTAACTACATTATCAGTGACGTAGTAACTACACTATCAGTGACGTAGTAACTACATTATCAGTGGCGTAGTAACTACATTATCAGTGACGTAGTAATTACATTATCAGTGGCGCAGTAACTACATTATCAGTGGCGCAGTAACTACATTATCAGTGGCGTAGTAACTACATTATCAGTGGCGTAGTAACTACATTATCAGTGACGTAGTAACTACATTATCAGTGGCGTAGTAACTACATTATCAGTGGCGTAGTGACTACATTATCAGTGACGTAGTAACTACATTATCAGTGGTGTAGTAACTATATTATCAGTGGCGTAGTGACTACATTATCAGTGGCGTAGTAACTACATTATCAGTGGTGTAGTAACTACATTATCAGTGGTATAGTAACTACATTATCAGTGGCGTAGTAACTACATTATCAGTGGTGTAGTAACTACATTATCAGTGGTGTAGTAACTACATTATCAGTGGCGCAGTAACTACATTATCAGTGACATAGTAACTACATTATCAGTGGTGTAGTGACTACATTATCAGTGGTGTAGTAACTACATTATCAGTGGCGCAGTAACTACATTATCAGTGGCGTAGTAACTACATCATCAGTGGCGCAGTAACTACATTATCAGTGGCGTTGTAACTACATTATCAGTGGCGCAGTAACTACATTATCAGTGGCGTAGTAACTACATTATCAGTGGCGCAGTGACTACATTATCAGTGGCGCAGTAACTACATTATCAGTGGCGCAGTAACTACATTATCAGTGGCGTAGTAACTACATTATCAGTGGCGCAGTGACTACATTATCAGTGGCGCAGTGACTACATTATCAGTGGCGCAGTGACTACATTATCAGTGGCGCAGTAACTACATTATCAGTGGTGTAGTGACTACATTATCAGTGGCGCAGTGACTACATTATCAGTGGCGCAGTGACTACATTATCAGTGGCGCAGTAACTACATTATCAGTGGCGCAGTAACTACATTATCAATAACGTGGTGAGTGCGGGAGGTGCCCCCTGCCCCCGCGCTCGTTCCGCTCCCTGCAGACGGCGCGCCTCGGTGTCGGAGTCTCACCCAGGGTCTCACCCAGAGTCTCACCCAGGGTCTCACCCAAAGTCTCACCCAGGCTCTCGCCCTCGGCGTGCCGCCGCGCTAGAAAGCAGCCGTCGTGCGCGCCGTGGCTCCGCGCCAGCGCCACGTGCAGCGCCAGGCAGCGCGCGTCCGAGCGCTGGAGGGCGCAGCGCATCCCCTCTGCGATCTCCCGGAGCGCCTCGTTCTCGTCGCGCAGCGCCTCTGCCTCGTCCTCCAACTCCTCCAGCGACACCACGAGCTCGCAGCAGCGGCCTCCGTCACAATTGGACGGCGAGGAGAACGCGGAGGAGGAGAACGCGGAGGAGGAGGCGAAGGAGGAGTTCGTGGCGCGGTGCGGAGCAGGGAAGGTGCGCGCTTTTGCAAATCTCCCGCTGTTCTCGAGGTCGAAGGACACAACCTTGCTGCTGCTGCTGCTGCTACCGTTGATGCGCCTGTTGCTGCTGCTGCTGCTACTCGCGCTGGTGCCCATGCTCAAGGTGGGGGTGCTGCTGCTGGTGATGCCGGCGGTGGTGGTGGTGGTCATCCTGCGTCGCAGCGGTCCGGTTCTGGTCACGCGCGCCTCCACGTGCACGCGCTCTTCTCCTGCGGGCGCAAGAGTGAAGCACCCCCAATCCCGCAGCGTGCCCCCCTTCTCGCTAAAGAAGCCGCAGAGGCGCGCGTGGAACTCCTCGAAGGACACTTCATCGGGCAGCTCCTCCAAGACCCCTCGCGCCTCCTCCTCCTCTTCCTCTTTCGTCTTCTCCTCGGCATCTCCATCCTGCTCCCCCCGCTCCTTCCCTTCGGCATCTCCATCACGCACCTCGTGCTGCTCCTGCTGCTGCTGCTGTTTCTCGGCCTTCATCCCGCGCGCACCACCGACCCCGAGCAGCTCGCATAGTGCCCTGAAGTCCTGCGCCTCCACCGTGCCCCGGCCGCGGTAGTCCAGGTGGTGGAAGGTCTCCTGCAGGTACTGGTCCAGTCCCGTGGAGAGCACGGCCACCTCGTTCTCCACGCCTCGGTCCAAGCCAAAGCGCAGCGCCAGAGCCCCCGCCAGCCACTGAGTCCGGCCCGCCGCGACCTCCCGGCGCGCTGGGTCGCTGGCCACGATGGGCCCAGCGCACGGCAGCGATCTCATCGTCCCGTGGCGGAGGTGGTGGCCCGGCTGGTGGAGGCGCCGCCCGTGTGCGGCGGAGGCTACTAGACGCGCGGTGACTGAGTGTGGCCGTGACGTGGGTCGCGCATCGCTGACTTCGCCGCGCGGGTCTCTGTCTTGCACAGCGGCGGTGCGTACGGGCGGAATTGATAACTCTCCCTCCCGCCAGCATGCCCACCCACCACCACCAACCATCCCTCACCACCCCCACTACCACACCCACCAACCCCCACCACCCCACCTACACCGACCATCCACGCTGCCACCACCACGACCACACCCACCGTCCCCGCCACCCCCATCACACCGGTCATCCCCACCACCGCACCCACCACATCCACGATCCCCCATCCCCACAACCCCCACCACCACACAGACCATCCCAACCACGCACCATCCCCAAGACCACCATCACACCCACCCACGCATCCACCACCGGTCTAACTCACCATTTCCTCTATCATCACTCGCATCGCACGTGGCATCACAAGACCGTGCTTTCGCTCGACCTGTCACTGACTGCATCTCCCTCTCTAAAATAAATGCGCCATCCGTTTCTGCATAGCGTCCTGAGAAGTGGGTGCATGTTGACGATATTTGAATCATAACTGTAACTGCATCGAACAGCAACAGCACCGCCGCCACCACCACCACCGACTCACACCACAACAACCACAACAACCATCGCGACCCCATCGTCACCATGACAAAAATCCTCCGTATAGCCTGAACAGTCTGAGGGGGCAAGTTCTGTTAGCGAGCACCTATGAATGGCACACGAGGGGGGTCAGTGACCAGCACCACTCCCGACCGCCTTTGTCTCCCCAGTGGCGATGTTTACACACCGCACCAGGTACTCATTTGTTGGCCGAGTCGACCTAGGGGAGGCCCAGGACCGTTTCAGATAAAAGTCACCGGTGATGGCCGTGCACGGGAATTGAACTCGGGTGGTTGTAGCACAGCGCGCTAACCACTGCCCCACTGCTCCCCCATCACCGAAGCCTGCAGCCCCCAAGCCCGTATAATGGAGCCTGCATGCTCGAGCCCGCATCCTCCCCCTCCACTCACTAGCAGCTCGAAAAGCCTCCCGCTCTCTGGCCGCAGTGGATTCGTGGCAGACATGCACAGGATGAGCGTGTTTAAGTGCGAGTGTCCGTGTGCGCGTGTGTGTGTGTGTGCATTGTATGTGTGTGTGCGCGTATGCGTGTGTGCGCGTGTGTGCGTGTGGCGAGCGGTGGCGCGGTGGTTAGCGCGCTGCGCTTCGGACCCCTGCTACCCGAGTTCGATTCTCGCTCACGGCCAACGCCAGTGATAGCGATTATCTGAACCGGTCCTGGACCTCCCCTAAGTCGACTCAGCCTCAAATAAGTACCTGGGCTTGTGTGTAAAAACATCCCCATTGGGGAGACTAAGGCGGTCGGCCGTGGTGCTGGCCACCCACCACCTCGTGTACCGTGCCGGCCTCCATAGGTGCTCGCTAACAGCACTTGCCCCAACAGTCTGTTCAGGCTATACGGGATCTTTGTTTTGTGTGGCGAGCGGCGGCTCGCAGTGGTTCGTGCGCTGCGGTACAAACTCGGTCAACCGATTTAGATTCCTGCTGACAGCCAACATCGCTGACAAATATTTGAACCGGTCCTGGTCCTCCGCTATGTCGACTAAGCCTTCAAATGTAGTACCAGGTGCGGTGTGTAAACTATCAGCATTTGGAGAGACAAAGGCGGCCGGGCGTGGTGCTAGTTACTCGTGTGCCGTGCTGTCCGTCCTTAATAGCGCGCTCACTAACAACACTTGCCCCAACAGTCTGTTAAGGCTACACGGGGGACCTTTCTGTTAGTGTGGAGTAGGGCTGAACGATTAATCGATTTCAAATCAAAATCGCAATTTGAAACAATGCGATTAGCAAATCACAATGGCTGTGACTTTTTGCGATTACTTTCTTATTGGTATTGTTTTATTTTTTATTCTAACTTTATTTATTTAACTTAACAATTGTTATATGATTGATTGTTCAATTTCAATTAAAACATTTTTTTAATAAATACATTTTGGAAGCAATTCATATATTTTAAGTTCTCATCCTTGCATTAGAATATATAGAGCGGCTCATATTTTGATGGTATCATGTGGCAATGCCCCATTACATGTTTTAAATGTATCACATAGTGAATATTGAACTGAAGTTTAACTTGAAAAAAATCGAAAATCAAATCGCAATATCTGTCAGAAAAATCGCAATTCGATATTTTCCCCAAATCGTCCAGCCTGAGTGTGGAGGCTCGTGGGGGACGCTGCTTGGCAGTTGGGGGCAGTTCCCTTCCAACAACAACGAGCGGAACGCCGGTCGCCTCTAACGCAGCAAGCTGAACACAGTGGCGAGCACAGGTTGGTGTATCTGTCAGTCGCCTGAGTCAGTCAAGCCACGGCACCTTGGTCTGTCCAGTGACCTGGCAGCAGAGAGCCCTCCACACTTCACGTGGCGGTCAAAAGTGCACCTAGCTTGGCACAAGTGCCGTGGCGACGTCACCGGCACTCAGTGGCGAACGGCGGCTGTTGGAGCGATGTCGCAGTGATTCGAGGAATGCGTTACAAACACGGCTAACATCAGTCGCGAGTGATATCTAAACCCATTGTTGGACATCCCGTGTGTCGAATCAGCTGACAATGAACGGTATCTGCTACGGTGATGCAAACATCAGCAGTTTAGCAACAAAGGCAGGGCCGGGCGTGGCACTGGCCGTGCCGGTCTTAATAGAGGTGTCCGTAAACAGCAACTTGCCCCAAACAGTCTATTAAAGGGCGATACGAGGGAGCTTTGTGTGCCCGTGTGTGTCTCTACCAAGGCTTTAGGTCTTGCAGCTGTTGGCCATTAACAACTTGTGACGTTTGGAAGAGCTCGGATGAATGGAGGGGATGGGGGGGTGGGGGCTGTTTGAACTATCGAGGGGCTCGTTTTCGTGACCTCGACCCCATTGGCCCACGCGAATTGACCCCAGCGAGTCCAAGCTGTGGATATCTGCACAAGCCATGACTATAAACACGCCGTGGCGCTTGCGTGTAACTCGGCGTGCCTGGAATACCTCTGCCGTGTCTCCTGCGAGGCAGTGGAGCAAGTCGGGGTGATGTTACGCTCACGGACACTCCGCCACACATGACGACGCATGTATGACTACTACACATTCCCATTATACGGGCAGCGGTGGCTATGTCCGCCTGTAACCCAGCACTGTGGGCGCCACGGTGGCGAGATGTTAGCTTCCTCGCCTGGTATACAGGAGATCGTTGGTTCGATCCAGACCCTGACGCCTGTTGTATATTTGGAGTTTGCGTGTTCTCCCTGTGGTCGCGTGCATTTTTTTATCAGGATCCTCCGGGTTTTTCCTCCACATTTAGAATCAGCATCACGCGTTTATAGTATTTGGCTGCTATAAATGTCCACGTGATAAGCCGCTTCGTTGAGCTATCATTTATGGCCAGGCTGCTTCTCAAAAACAGCTACATAGCTCAGTGGGCCTTACCTGATGAAATAAAATAAAATGTTACATTTATTGCTTAGTTTATAGTTAACTGTGGAGGCGAGGAGTACAGTTCTTTAGAACTTATATTTGTGTTTAATATGTTACCATTCCCCCGCACTTCCAATTAGCACGGTTGGCTACGTACGGTGCAAAAGAAGTTCAACGTAGATGCAGAGTTGGTGGCTTGCCAGGAGAAGGCAGTACAGCGGATGGACTAATCGCCATCTGTGTCTATCCGTATGGGGATTGAGTTGTTGTCCTCTCTCGCGCGTGGGCTGCCCTCGGTTGCTACCGGTTTCCTTCCACTTGTATAAACTCTCTTTTTAATTGACTCAAAGCGCCTTTACAAAACTAGATCAACACTCAATACAGGACTTTCTTGAAAAGGAGTCGTACGACTATTTGACTCTCCTGGCGTACAAACCAAAAACAACCTTTTACTCCTGGACATATGTGACTAAAGATCTTCATAGCTCATCAGATTCATCCCGTATAAATAAAGATTCTGATTCTGTTTCACAAATAGGGTCCTGTCATTATCATTATTCCACCGCTGGATGAAGGCCTCCCTCCCCACGCTACAGCAGTCATGTGGGTTGACTGACCATACTTGATTCACGCTGGCCATTGCTGATTGGTCGAAGGCGGGCTCCCACAGTCCCACGACGGATTCGGATATCATTCACCCACTGACGCTCTTCGTAAGCGGGGAACCGAACTTATTTGAGCCTCAAAACTAAGGAGAGCGGGTGGCATCTCCCGCGGTGCTGCGTTCGCCAAACGTTGGCACCGCACGAATTAAATCCCCGGGCCACGGCTAACATCGGCGGCGAGTGATGTCTGAACCTGCCCTGCCCATGCCACCCCGCCACCAACAATCTGCCGACCGGAATTCTTGTTGGTTTTTTTTTGGTGTCCGCGAAGTGGGGCGTGCTCGCACTGAGCCTAGCGAGGCGGGCGGGCGGGCGGGCGAACGAACGCGAGTAGCCATAGCTACCGTTTGTGGCAACAGCCTTCACCGCCGTGTGTTTTCCACGACCCCTCTTAACGACTGCCGCCACGCAGTGTACGGGGCGAGCGAGAGGGGATGGAGGGACAGGTCGAGGAGCCCCGGGGACGCTACCGGGTGGGATGGAGTGCATCCAGGGGATAACCTCCCCCCCCCCATTTGAACCCCCCCACCCCGCCCGAGTCGGACATGCAACTTGACCGATCACCACCACCACACAACTTGACCCTCGCTGGGGTCAACATGGACGAGGAACCGCAGGTATTGGAAAAGCGCCGCGAGGGGGATGAACCCACACTTTTAAAAAAAGCGTTTCGTTTGCCCTTGACGGTTACGTGCTGGTGTGTGTGTTTCTTTTACGAGCTGTTCAAGTCCACTACTGGAGTTATTGCTGTTTAGTGAAGACGGGTGTTAACTCTAATTACCGGAGTGTATTGAGTGAACACCCCCTAGTATGTACGTGTGTGTTGGGTGATGGATTTTTTACACGTAGGCTTTCGCGATCAATATCATCCATTATCCATAATTTTAAGAATGAAACAGGAGGATGTCTCTATAACTCAGGCTGTCGCCC